AATATGCAGCATGTGTTCATGGGTTTTCAGATTCAAGGAGGGAGCCCTGGACAGAGTTGGTTAAGTGCCATCACAATTTTTGGCTCAGGAATGGAAAAAAGAGCTCTAGTCCCATCTGACATCTACAGCAGTATGTGCTGATACTCCCTGCCAACGATGAGTTCCAGCATCTTCCAAAAGATGAATTGTGTGTGGCACTGTTAAAATACGTCCTGCTTCATTAAACCCATTGTATTTGGTTTGGGTTCTGCTCCTGCATTTCCGTCTGGGTTTTGGTATCCATAGCATACAGGTAGTTTTTGATGAGTGTTGTATCACGAGGGGAGGGAGGCAGGCAAGCACTCTGTGGCATCTTTATCATTGCCAAGGTCTCTCTAGCTGCTGGAGAAGCCACCAGTCATCTGTATCTCGGGTTTGGGAATGGTGATGGTATCCCTTATCAGTGTTCAGAGAATTAGATAAAAAGATACTTACACTGCTTTGTGATTCCTATGTGACAGGTCACATACTGATGGATAAAGTATGGTAATCATTACATCTAGGTAGCTGGATGCGTCTGCTGGTCTAAATAGCCCATGTCTCTTCAGACGTCTCTTCAGTCAGTGGCCATGTGGCTTTGGAAATAGTTTATATTAAAATTGATAGTGAAAATGTTTCCCAGGCCAGTTTATAATCTCTTAAGTGTAGTGACATGGGGAAATGCTTAAGCTGTATGAAGGAATGTATAGCATGGCTGATTAGCCACTGCAGAGCATCTGCAGCCTGCCCAGGCTCCTTGGGATAACGGTGAACCAGGAATCCCAAGCAGCCCTGTAATCCACATGCTGATAGACAAGGTCAGTACATCAGAGGAAAAAGAAAAAGGGGGGGGTGGGATCTAGACATTAAAAGGGTAAGAACATTTGGCTAGCAGCATTTCTCCATCAGATGATTGCCTACACAGCACTGCACTGTTTACACGTGCGTGATAGATGGGGCTGAACATGTTTTCTCAGCTATGGGTGGTAGCAAGGAGGGGATATTTCAATTAAAGTGTGAATAAATTAGAATTGATTACAAATAGAGCTATTTGTTTACGCTGCCTAAAATGGTATTAGCTGCAAACAAGGTGTATTTAATCATAATGGAAGGAAGCCTGAAAGTTAATAAAACACACTGCTGGTTCTTGCAGAGGAATGCCAGCTTTGGGTTAAATCTGTATCTATTTTAGTTCTGAAGCCCCAACTGTCATTTTGTAGGCATATGCATTTTGGATGTTAACATGTTTGAATGATGCAGCTGAGGCCCAGGCCAAGCCGACCCTAAAATTGGCAGTAAAACAGTACCTCTGTGCAAGCACGCAGAATGAAGGAACACAGGAATACGAGCAAAAAGCATGTGCAGTCTTCTAACATGGAAACCAGGAGCTTCTGGAAACAAACACTCTCTTGAGTAAATCAGGGTACTCCTCTCAAAGCTTTCCTATAGTAAATGCTCAGGAAAATTAACCGCCAGCAGTAGAGGAAAGGAAAGGAAAGCACCAGGAGGAGTGCACCAAGGCAGCACAAGCAAGGAAGGATTGCCTGTGTGGTGCCCCATGGTGCCGCTGGGCACTCCAGTTCCTCAGCTGCAAGTGGAGCCTGAAAAACCTCCGTGGCTGGGTAAAACCAGAGCCTCTGGATAGGCGGGTAATGCAGAGCTCTCCCCACAAGCTGGCAGCGCCGGGTTTGCAGAAGCCACAGCTGTGCAAGCTGGAAGACCGTAACAAATCTCCTTGCCATCTTCAGATGTTACCGGCTAATGGAAATAAGTAGTTCTGAAAACAGATCTAACCCTTATTGCCAGGGGAGAAGAAGGAGTTTCTGGAAGAACCTCTTCTGAACACTTGACTGTTTTCTCTGTAAGTTGAAGCTGTCAGTTTCCAGCAGGGTTATACTACTCCATTGCCTCCCTGAGGTCCTGTTGAGATTAGTCAGTGAAGATGGTGGGGAGATCAAACCCATCATTGGTGTGATACTGGTATTTGCAGTAGATGCCAGATGAGTACTCAATGTACAAGTGTCGTGCTCCAACTGAGAGGGTGTTCCTGGATGTCTGGGCCAGCTCTGATTTCTCTCCTGGGCAAATGAAGAAGGAATTTCAAGTCCAGCAAAGATTTAGCTTAGATACCTGTCTTTAATCATAGAGATTATCTCATGGACTTCACTGAAAGCATTTCAGGTCAGTTAAAGGAAGTGCAGAGATGGTTTCAGGTGAGATGTGTTTCTAGAGTGGCAAAAATTACCAATTGTAAATAAGCAGTTTTCCCTCCTCAACAGAACTCTGGCAAAGCTAAAACCTCCTGCTGCGTGCATGGTTCCTATAGGGCTGAATGGGAAGGAGTCTGAAACTGAGGGTTGCCCTGACACCTTCTCTCTTCCCCATGGCCTGTTGGCTGGAGCTTCATTCCCTAGATGACGTTTTTGTGGTCAAGCTCCCCTCCAAATGCTGCCTGGCGGCTGAGAGAAACATTGAATGATCTCTGCTGCAGACTCAACTCTGAAGTTCTATTTGGTACATGTAAATGATTTCCTCCACAAGCGATGCTTCGCATTGCACAGCCATGCTCGCAGCTTGCCAGGGATGTTTATGTATTTGTGGCTGGCTAAACATGTTGTGTGAAAGGTGTTTCCAAATTCACATTGAAATATACTGGGCTATCTTCTTTCATCTAAGGCAGGGTGCGCCCATTGCAATATACTGGGCTATCTTCTTTCATCTAAGGCAGTGTGCCCCCATTGTTTTGTGTGCTACCCACGAGCTAGCAGAGGTAACATTAGTGCCTTGTGTCCAGGGCTTTCACATAGATGCTTGATCCTGGAGTGGTCACTGGGTGGTTAAACTGGAAGTCAGAGGTGATGTGGGGTCACCTTAAAACAGTTGGGTTGAGATTTCAGGGAAATTTGTTCATGAGAAGAATCTCTGTGCAATTCATTTGCTGCAGCAGCTCTTGATGGATATTGCTGTACTCTGGATCTGCTCCTCTATTTGTGGGCTCTCCCTAAAGTGAGTGGGAATTTGTGCCTATACATCAAAGTTAGGGCAAGGCTTTCAGTGTAGGTATGATGCGGATAAATTGCTTGATGACCATGAACCGTGCTATTCCAGAGCTCAGCAATAAATCACACATTAGGCTTTGAAATGCACAAACAGGAGCAAGATGCTCACTGATTTCCAGGTGGGAAATGGTCAACAAAATCCTTTTCTCTTTTTTTCCATCTTTGTAAATCTATCCTAATATCAGTAAATGAGATAGGAAAGTAAAGGTGCCCAGTGTAAGGTGCTGCTGGCATATGGAGGACTCACTTCCATTGGCCTTGTCCTCTGCTTTTCTTTGTGTTCTGGTTCTGACATTGATATTTTGTGGATATTGTTGCATGCCAGGGTACTAATAGGAATTTATAGCTGGTTAATGATGGGGGATTTCTGCCTGGCATACCCTAGCCCTACAGGGTATTCTATTTTGGTATATATTAACATTTCCTGTCGTACAATATACGGTGAAAGTGCCGAGCCTCCGACCTCTCGGTATGTAAAAAAGGAATGCTTAAAAATGGCAACTTCCTTTATTTTCTTGGTATTCCAATTTCCTCTTATTTTCCCCTGTGAGCTGTGTCACTGCTGGCTGGGGAGCTGGGACATGGCTGCCAATCAATATCCCACACTGAGGAAAAGAAATTGCTGCCACTCAGATGAAATATGTATATATGTATTTTAACCAGAGTTGAGATACGGTGTAAAAAACACCAAAAAGCCCTTTGAAGTCTGTTTTGTAGTTTTAATTAATGCAACGAGGGTTTTTATTTTACTCTCAGTGGAGATAATCTTAATCCATTCACAGTGACCTTTTCTTGTGCAAATTAGCTACACACGCTTGTTTAAGCAAATGGGCCTTTGCAAGATGTCTCTTCCTAAAGACTGGAGCTTATAATTGAAAATTGGCTTACTCCCATCTGTCTGGCCTGTGTGAGAATAGGAACGTAGATCCAGACTTTTTTTGTATATAAAATATAATCATATACAAATGTATATACATACACATATATACACATACAATAAATAGTGCTCTGCCTGCAGGCTACAGTTAAATTGGATTATTAGTGTTAGAAATCTCAGTGCCACAAGTTGCTGTCAGAAGAACATCTGCCTGCAGAGTCCAGGACACTGGAGAACAGAGGGTGTTTACTCCAGATCCTTTTGTCTCAGATGAGGCTGGTGCCATTCACAGCTCCATGGGTACAATTAGCTAATAACAGGCTGGAAACTGTTAGGATTTGATGTGTGGTTTGGTGAATGGTTTCAAGGTGATTGATGGAAATGGGAAAAAACCCAGGAGTGTCTATAAGCACTTGGGTTTTAATTCAGAGGAGCAGGGGCCATTGCAGCTACGTGGTTAATTGCCAAAATTGGGCAGTTTATCCGTCTCAGCACACTTGACAACAACCACCAAGTGAGTCATTGTAACCTCCTGTCCGTTTTTGAGTGCCTGCTTGATAAGGGAAGATTTCTTTGGCATAGTTCACATATTTTTTTGCTTTGTACAAACCTCTTGTGCAGAAATGAGCACAGTTGTGCATGGTCTTGACTAAATATGAATAGAAATCAGTGTCACTGCAGTGCCAAAACGGTGCTTTGGGTATCAGCATATTGCACATGATAAAGTTTGTTGTTAAGAGCTTGTGCACACGTGCTTATATAGAAATGGCTGATTACTGCAATGGCAAAAGGATTTTGTACATCCTCAGTTCCATTACCACTCTCCCCAGCTCTCTCCCATGGTGGTTGCTCCTGAAGGTGAACAAAAAGGAGCCAGGGAGGTGGCTGACACACACATGCACAGAGGCAGTTAACCTGGTGGTGAACAGTCTTGGTCAGGGATGATGTTATCCAGATGGGTCTCAACAGCTGTTTGCATTTTCATGCCCAGTGACTCCAGGACTCACGCTAATTGAATTTTCTCTTTTCTCCCCTGTTCTTGTTAGGTATGATTACCGTGAAATGCTGCACAATGCCACTTTCTGTCTGGTTCCCCGTGGCCGCAGGCTTGGCTCTTTCAGGTTCCTGGAAGCCTTGCAGGTAAGAGCTGCAGTTTAAAGCATTGGCTACGCTGGCTGCAATTCAGCATGCAAAAGCAAGGAGGTGGGGAGCAGGGAAGTGTGTTTCATTTCCCTAGTGGACAATAATCCACTTTGCAAAAGCCTCTAGTCATACTTCTGAAGCAGTTGGCAGCTTCTTCCCAGGAGGGGCCGAGCACTGAGCTCATCTGAGGGTTGAATTGGGTTACCTCCAGGAAAAAGGGTCTCCCTGGATGTGGTGAGGCTGAGAGGTTGGTCCGGTTTAGAACAGTGTCAAGCTGTGAGACTTCCCATTGGAGACAATGGCCTACACAAGCCCCAGGGCAGTAAAAGTAGGGGTTTGTTTTCACTTATCCCAGACAGACCTGCTTATGCATTGCCTGTCTTGAGGTGGTGCTTGCTGAACCTGCAGAAGGTGTCCTGGAAGTTGTAAAGCCCCAGAGGAAAGCTTCACATGAAGGTGGATATAGGCTGGTCTCACAGAGCTCACAGTGTGTCTGGGACAGCACCTGAATCCCTTTCACCTTTTAAACCCATTTTGGTTAATGGTCTCACTGTTTTGCTGTTGGCCAGCAGCAAAGAGCTATGCGAAGGGGCTTCTGAGTCACTGTGGCAGCCTGACACCAGGTGATAGAGCCTAACGCTGGCCTACTCCAGCTGCAGCCAGCCTGACCCTTTTTTACTAGCAAGCATCAGTCAGCCATACAGAGCATCTTGGGAGATGCTAAAGCTCCCCTCTAGGACTGGCATACGGATATCCATGGGGACTGGAGCGGAGGGAAGGCTGAGTGGGTTCTTGGTGTCAGTGAGATAGATAGCAAATGAGGACACCTTACAGGGTCCTGCCTCTGGGTGTGTTTTTACAATCTGGGAGGTGTCCCAGCACTGGCAGTAAAGCTGTTACTGAATAGCATCACATCATTTTTCTTCATCAACCACAAAATGTCCCAGCCACTACTAAAGAATAATGTTTACTGCAGTGCAGACTAGGATTCAGGTACCTGAGTGTAGGTGTATAATGTCATTTTAGAAGCCAAATGGCTTTCTGGCTTTTTGGTGCTTCTCCAGGTCTCAGTAGATCCTGTGTCAAGTCTGCCAGCCTTTGATGGTTTTCTTGGGTATCCTAGAGCATCCCAAATGTGCCTAACACTTAGGATAACTACTGAACCCTATACTTACTGTCAGTTTGAGATCCAAGTTCTGGACTGTCACTTACCTCTTTGCTCCTGCTCAGATTAATAGCCTGCAAAGTGATGTTCCTTCACCAACCTTTTCAGAGGAAGAACTGAGACTGGCTTATTTGGAATGACAAGTCACTTCAGATCCTCCAGAAGCACACTGCTCAGATCTTCTCTCATCTGGGCCACGAGTCATGCAGCCTCTGTTAGATACATTATCTGAGGAGAAGTACAGAACTTGGAGGCTTCAGGTCGATGATGATAAAATGCAGGCACTGAGGATTTTCCTCTCAGTCTGGCAACAGTATTCACCGATTATGATGAACTTCCCATATCTGTCTGGCTCCAAGGCATAATCCACATTAAGTGGAATGAAAGACATAATTACAAAAGACATAATCCACATTAATGGATTGTTTTAAACATGAAAACACACTGCTAAGTGTTTTCTGGTTGGCTTTTTTCATGCACAAATGTCATTCCTTTACAGATCACAGTTCCTTACTCCCCATTGTTGCAATGCAGAGACTTGACCAGTCTAAAGTCCTGTGTCAAATACACGTGACCAAGGAAGGTACAGCAGTCTGAAAACTTCCCCTTTATACCATCTTTTGGGTGCTATAGCGAGATCTGAACCCTACTCCGAACCTAATTCAGAGCACTTGAGCTTGACTTGGTCCCAAAGAAACTGAACTAGAACATGGGCTTGATGGAGATCCTCTGATAATAGGTTCTTGCATCACATCAGGAGGCTTGTGGTTTGGATCTTGTATTGAGATCCAGCTGACCAAAATGTGGCGGCGATCATTTGTTTATGGAATTACTGCCTTATTTGCTGAATAGTCTCAAATGTGCTGTCAGTGCAGAGGAGCTTGTGCAACTCCGAAAAGATTAAATAATTTAGACAGATCATACTGGTATGAAATAGATACTAAATGTGTATGCGTTCTGTTTGGTTTAGGACAGAAAGCAATTCCTATTTTTGTAGGCAGGTGTTGGCAGATGAGTTGTGTTTGTGCAACTGCCTCTGTTTGGAGAGGTGGTATCAAACAGAATAGGGAATTCACTCCTCCTTTGTGGAAAAGTGTCCTGGAATTAAATACGATTTATATTTTCTGTAGGGTTGCCTTGCAGCATACTACAAAAATAAGGGAGTTAGCTCCCTGCTGAAAGGTTCACAAAGCAGCAAGGGAGGCCATCATGCTGTATTGAGTTTCCCCAGTGTTACATCTGCATTATTATAACAGTTCTGCCCTCATCTGGCAGTGTAAGCACCACATGTCAAATTCCACTCTCCATGCAAATCCCACCTTTCAGTGAATATGAGTAAGTACAAAAACCCATAAACGTCTGGGCTGCCCTCCTGTGGCTTCTAGCTTCTGGTATTAATTGCCATGGTGCCTTTCCTTCTGGGGTTGTGCAGAAAGCAATGGTCATGGTGTTGGTGCAAACCTCGTGCCCTGGTCACCTAACAACTGCAATGCCTCTGTGTGCATGCAGGCTGCCTGCGTCCCAGTTATGCTCAGCAACGGATGGGAGTTGCCGTTCTCGGAAGTGATTGATTGGAACCAAGCTGCCGTCATAGGCGATGAGAGATTGTTATTACAGGTAAGAGAAAGTCCGTGGCCTTCAGCACATCAGTTGATTATTGCTGCTGCCATCTAAATGGACGGGGAAGATGAATCCAAAAGGTCAGGACTGTAAAAGAATTTTTATCATGAAAGGATTGTCTGTGTCACACCAGCTATGAACTCATTTAATATGACATCATTCATTTTTTGACCTGAAGGTCACTGCAGCCACATTCCAGGCCAAGTTCTTAAATGCAGTAGACTTTTATTTTTCCTAAGAGCATGAAATCTCTTCTGGTGTGAAGCACCTGGATGCTTCTTTAAGGCAGAGCTGGCCTGGGCTGGGTGCTGTGATGAAAGAGAAAACATTTGAAGGCAGGTTCTTTAGTCCTTCAGTAGTTTGTCCTCAGGGGTCCCACCAGCGCTGCATGTCTGGCTGGCAGGCACTGAAGGAACTCCTCGGGAAAGCAGGTATTTTCTAAGGCAAGAGTTACCACCTACCAGGTTTTTAGGAGGCAGAATCAGCCCTTTTTCTGATGTCTGGACCATCTAACATGGCTTTCTGAAGCAGTGTTCATGTCACTTACTGTCATTCTCCTTGAGATCATGAAACAAAAGCAGGCTGAGACATTAGAGATTCCCTGCTACCTTCAGCATCTACTTTGGCTTTAAATTCACTTTCTTTTTTTCTGTTTCCCTAGTGGGTTTCCTACTCCAAATACATTCTATAAACTATGTGGAGAAGTTGATATTAGGAGACATTCTTGAAAGTTTAGTAGCATTTGATAAAATGCCATTGCCCAGCGTGAAGCTGAGATCTACGATACCTGGAATAGCCACTAAGTAGTCACTAAGAAGGGCTTTTTTATGATTGAATTCAACTCATATCCAAGGTGGCAAGCTGTTGTCATCCACAGAGAGAAGCCTACAAAGGTCCTGGCACCCCAAAAACAAAGTACCTTTGAAAGTCTGGTGCGATGCCTATTTACTTGTCTGAATAAGTAAGTATTTGTGAAGAGCTGCGCTAGCAAGCCCTGCAAAGTGCTGCCTATTCTCCTTAATGTGATTCAAGCTGCAGGTATAAAAGAGCCATTGGATTTTTGCATCTGTGGACAGCACATCTTTTCTGAGCAGAATTATTTCTCTCTTTAAATAATAACAATAATTTGCTGATCCTCATGCTTTCCGGTGCCATGCCATTCGTTCCCTTCACAGCTGCTGCCATATTGAACAGCTACTGCACCGTTATTAACAGTGGTTTTAAAGAGCTGGCAGAGGGCCTGAATGTCTGCTCTGGGAAATGTTTTTGTTATGTTACAGTTTTTCATTTCCTGTTTGAGAGCCGCTCGGATGTTTTTATTTGCATATTCCCCTCATCACGATGCTGGGAGAGCTTAATCCAGCCTCTCTGCGTTTATTTGCGCAGGGTGGCTTTCCTCTTCCCCCTGCTTATTACTGGAATGGCCTTTTATTAAGGATCTAATAATTCCAGTGTAATCCTGCCAGATTAGTATTAATACATCACTTTCCCCACCTGTCTTGCTTGACAAGTAGATTAATAACTAATAGGCAAATGCAGTCAAAATGGGAGCTCTGATTTTCCTTTCCAGCTGTTGTAAGAGAGCAGGCACCGAGGCTTTTTTTTAACCTTGGCAGTGTGTTGGCAGGCGCTCACAAGCATGATGTGGTCTGTAAAATCATAACAACTTGCAGTAACCTTCACAGTCAGGGCAGCCTTCCCTTTCAAAGGGCATCATTGGGAATGAGTATTGATTTTATTTGGTGCTCGCACGCATACGCACACAAGGTTGCACGTAATGAAGTGAAATGTTTAAGTTTATAGAGAAAATCCCATATTAGCACTGTGAAGTGACTTTGATCTTGTGTTTGCTGCTGGTAATGATCCCGGGTGTGATTAATACACATCTATGGACAAGCCAGTGCAGGTAATGTCCATTATCCCTCTGCTTATTGGAACTTACTGTTTAAATAATGAAAAGAGAGAACACTCACCTAAAAGATGAAATTTGATGCAGTTACTTATATCATGTCTTGAGTAGTGACATGATCAGTTAGAAAAACACATTCTAATACATGTATGTAGCTTCTGTCTTTCACAGTAGTTTTGCAGGGAATATTTTACTTAAAGACCTTTTTTTACTTAAAGGGCCTATAGCAAAGGAATGTAAAGTACCGTCTTCAACACTCTCACCATTTTCTTGTGTTCCACCTTGCTGTAGTGCTAACTCCCATAAGCTCAAATTCTGTATTCTAGTTAGCAGTGTATTTAAGATGAAGGTCTAAGAGACAAAGGGCTGAAAAAGTAGATAGCCCCACCTGACACTGCACCCTGTGGAGCCATAGTCCTTCAGGGGACAGTGTCCAGGGTGCAAACGATGAGTAAAGAATTTCTGGTTCTTGTGGAAATTTGTTATATATAAATTCTTAAAATCTCAAATTTTCTTCAGGAAATGTTTCATGTGAAAGCCAATAATGGCCACTGCCACCTCTCAGCATATTTAAGGAATAAGCAAAGTGCGGTTTGCTCAGGAAAGGACAGGATGTGGTGGCATGCAAGAAAACTCCAGAATAAGCTGTGGTGTGCAAAAAGCAACACACAGCCCAGGTAGATGCTTTTACGACTAATGACTTCGGTAAAAGATTTATGAGAAATGAGTGTCTGAGCACAAGGTGACCTAATTTGAAATCACAAAACAAAGTGGGTGCAAAAGCACAACTCTTCATTCCTGAGTAAAGTGAACACAAATCAGCAGTGCGTTCTAGATGCCTTTCGAGTGCTGGGAGTAGCCCTTGTAACTGAAGCAAATTCCAGTTAAATTTGCTTGTTAATGTCAGTTTGCATTGTCAAAGAGGTGTACTGGAGGCCTTGGTCAGTGTCCTAAGTTACAGGACACATATGTACATTAGTTTCCCTCCAGCATGGAAGAGGGATGTGGGGATGGGGAAAGATGTATAAGTGAAGCCCTCCCCTTTTGAGCAGTCACAATTTTCATGACAAAGCATTGCAGCAGGACAATTTTGGGGTTTTATTTGTAAGGCAACTTATACCAGAATTAATGTGTTGATTTAATGGAAAGGGGGAAAAAGAAGCAGTGTTTTCCCTTGTGAGTAACAGGTGCTGTGGGAGGCGTTATTCTTTCCACCCACAGTAATTAGTAAAATGCAATTTGATCCACAGGCTCCCAAAAATTTGAATCTTACTTAAGATGTTGCTATGTTTTTCTTAGGGTACTTAGTGTTGCCATGCTGTGGTAAATGCAATTCCAGATCCCTTTAATATACTCTGAGAGCAGGGATTATTGTTGGACTCTCAAGACCTGCAAGGACTCGTTTGTTAAAATACTAGTCCATGAAAACCTTTGTGCATGAGGGATGTATGAAACAGCTCCTTACTGTGCCATGCCACAGCACTGGGGAGAAGGAGCTTTTGTTACCATAAATCAACCAGAAACTAAAAGAAGGTAGATAAAAAACCTCGTATATTCCATACCAAAGGCTATAAAGGGTTGTGTCCCATTCATTTTACATCAAGGCTTTAACTGTTGCAGCACACGTCTGGGTCGGACAGGAGTGCTGAAGCCGTGCAGCTTGCAAATAAGGAGAGGGCTTGTCAGCAGCATATTAATTTGATGCGATTGCATTGTTTTCTGAAGGTCCTGACTATATTGCATCTTGTATTACAGATTCCTTCTACAATCAGGTCTATCCATCAGGATAAAATCCTAGCACTTAGACAGCAGACACAGTTCTTGTGGGAGGCTTATTTTTCTTCAGTTGAGAAGATTGTATTGACTACACTAGAGGTGAGTAAAATTGCCTGGGACCTTGCCAGGCAGAGAGGTTTCCCTACCTGTCCAGCTGCTCCTGTCCTCTGCTGGCATCAGACCTTGGTTTTCAAGGCATGCAGTTGGTCACTGGGAAGAAAGCTCGGAATCTTGATCAGTTTTCTGCCCTAAGGAAATGCTTTCTTCATTATCTAAATCCACATTAGAAAACTGCCACGGTGAAAAACGGGAGCTACCCAACACATGGAAAAGTTGTCGTGTGTGATCTTGCCTTTGCAAGGCTTTATGGCTTATGAATCACTCTCTTCGTCATTGGTAGTGAATGTGTTTCTTTAAGAAACCTTTCTGGAGTTTATTTTGGGAAAAAATATTACTGTAGAGCTCCTCCTTGACCATTCCTTAACATTTTGATGCCTTGTGATGGGGCTATTGTTCTGGCTCAGGGAGAAGGGAGGGTTTGTAAATCAGTGTCTTATCTTCACACACAGCATAAGGGAAAGGCCTGATCATCCGTATAAAATATTAATAAATAATCATAATTAGACTGCTATTAAACAGAGAGACAGATGATCTCAGATGTGGAGAGAATGCTTTCTGAATTCAGAGGCAGGAGAGATGAAAGGCTCTTTAGAAGTAGAGCCCAGGCGACAATTTCAAAAGCAGGTTTAGCTTCTAATTGTTGTGCAATTTTGCACATAAATTTTTGACACACTTTTACCACTGCAAGTGCCTCACTTTGTAGGTGCAAATGCATTCGTCTTATGCTAATGCTTCTGCAATTGCATCCGTCTCTGTGCACAGTTGTAAAGCTCCACATTTCCCGCTGTGCCTGCTTACCCTGGAAAGCTGCAAATGAGTGCTGCTGCCTGCAGTACAGGTTGCCTGTGGCTCATCTACCTCCAGCTGCTGCAAGACAGTCCCTTAGGATTTTCTGTGCCAGTAAAGAAAACCAGCCAGGGAACGTTTTCAGAGCCCCTGGCATAGCTACCCTCGCAATGCTCTCCTCACCCTCGGAAGAGCATGTCTTCATCTGTGCTGCCTGTTGGGAGCTGCTCTGCATCCTCAGCCTCCCCATAAGCACTGATGAAGTGGTGATAATTATCACAGCCTATGCCAGCATCAGACTCACAAAGCTGGAAGACCATGTGCCGTTGCTCAGAGTCTGTTTTACCCTTATGGAAGCACTCTGAGGGACAGACAGGGTGCCCTTTCCCAGCACTTACCCTCTTGTTGTTAGGGATTGGTACTTCTGCCTGTGCTGGGGCTGCTGTAGAGGGGATATAACCTGCAGCCCCCTTGGCCTGGGTGTCTGCCACATCAAGCTCAAACGCTCACCAGTGTGTTTTTAGCACAAGTAAAGGCTGGACTTAACTTTTCCTTAGGAAAGGAATAAAGCAGTTGAGAGTGATTTTTTGTGTGTGTCTGAAATCTTCCAGCAGTAGTATATCCTCTTCTTCAAATCTGATGTCTGGAAGTAAATTCCTAGCAGGATTATTTTTTTTCTGATGGATGTTACCCATCTTCTGTTGTAAGTCTGTTACATCAAGAGTGCTCTGATAATGCTACACATCACCACAATAACCACTTCCCTGCCAGTAGGTCTCCATGTGTGAGGATGTCAGTAAAGTCTTCACCAGGTATCTGCAACGACATCACAGCTCTCCTCTGCCCTTTATGTTGCACACCACTGAAAGTTTAAAGGTCCTTGTTCTTCTCACAGCATTTGGTGGCCTAAGCCAAAGAGCTCACAGCCCAGAATAAGGGTTTGAATCATTTGGCCACCAACCCCATACTGCAGGCACAGAGGAGCTGCCCAGTGCCATGGACATGGTGTGGGTTGGGAAACATCTGCTGCAGGCTAGTAGGTGGAAGTGCTGGCAGCACAGCAGTGAACTGCTGCAGACACTACCTAGATATGTGCTCCAGCAAACCTGCACGTTTTCAGCTTGGTCTTCTCTGGAAAGGAACCCAAAACATCCCTAAATCCCTTTGTGGTGGGCAGTCCTCCGCTGGGGAAGAGGAGGGGAGAGAGACAGCACAAAGTACAGGCAAGGAATGTTTGATGCTTGGCTGGGGCACGTTGAGAAGCAGCAATGATTAAGGCAATATGTGAGCTTTTTGAAGTGTGAGGATGAGGGAGACAAAAATATTGGACTGTTAATGAATTCCAAAAAGAAAAGGGAGATCTCACCAGATCCTAACCCCTTCCTTCTCTTATTAAACTTCCTGTCATGCCTCATCATTAGAGAGGCCGTGTAACTGCTGTCTGCCTGTGCAGTATGTGCAGTGCGGTACACTCTGCATTTTAATTGATCGGCCCTCCACATTATCTGTTTTTATACTTTCCTGTTCTCGTTCTGCCAACTTGTCTTTTCTCCTCTCTGTCATGACAGACAGCTAGGTTCCTTTTGGAGGCCAGGAGTGTAATAAATTAATCTCCATTTGTTAACTGTGATAAATCACTGCGAGCAGCTCCCCAGCCTGGTGCTGGTGAGGTTGGTGTGCGGAGTGGCACTGGGGCCCTGCTCCAGTTAGAGGTGAGCTCCCTCCGGGTGTGTTGAATGCCAGCCATGTGTTTCCCCTGCAGCCAGCACAATGGAAAACTCCACTGTCTCTGAAAACCGCCTGACCACGTAAATTCACAGACTTCTCCTTACCTGACTATGCCCCAGTTCTGAGAATGCAGGAGGAGGGAGCTGTAATATTTAGACTTTGTGATAAACACTCGACATTATGTACTTTCTAGGTTCTGGTTTTGTTTAGTGGCATAACTGGCAGATGGAGAAACAAGAGCATTATCTTTTTTCTCCTCTCCTCACTACCACGCAGGAGATCTGACAACTGATACACCTAATTTTCCAAGCAGAAATACTCGGATACGCTCTTGTCAGTGAAGGAAACACAGTCCTCAGTCTGTTATTCAAAGACCAAAAAAAAACCCTTAAATTAACTTACTCAAGTGAGCGAATTAGTGCATATTAGCTATGGTAATTGGCTGTAGGCAGAATTCAGACAAGCATGCAAATGCCCAGCATTTGCCCCAGTTTAGCAGTGTGTATATTGCCACCAGCAATGAATTGTCTAGCACAATGTAACTGGTGTTTTAATGTGTTCTTGTCATGGCAATCAAAACTTCCAGGAAAACAACTGCTCGTGCTAACACTTATTCATGGTTCTGTATGACCAAAACGTCCCTGAACTCAGCTGCTTACAGAGATTTTCACTTGTTTAATCTCCCGCAGCTGCTTTTGTTCAGCCCGTGTTGGGTCTTTTTGCTTGCTTTCATTTTTCCTGTGCTGTGGGTGTACATCTTCTTTAGTTTCATAGATTTTAAGGCCAGAATGAATGATGAGGGATCAGATTTAGTCCAGCTCCAGACCCATGGATTTTCACCCAGATATATTAAGGCTAGAGATATTAAGTTAGGAGAACCAACATGTTCTTGGCACTTGAGCCCTGTGCAGTGCATAAACTGCCAGTTCCATGAAATCTCCTTAGGAGATGGCAAATGAGCTGCAGGAGAAGGCAAGGCAGTCCTGTTTAGCTGACTTAGGGGAAAATTCTTCCTTCACCACCCCCTGGCCCTTTGCAGCGTCCCATCTCCTGACTTGCCAACCTCTTACGCTCTTGAGGGAAGCAAGAACGTGTGGCCCAAGATCAGATTGCACTTAGAAAACTGAAGCTTATTTGGAGGTTGAATTTGTCCAATTACAGCTTCCCACCACTGAACCTTGTTACGCCTTTGCAGCAAGTTTGAAAAAGCTCCCGTTGGTGTAAGAGCCACTGTGGTTCTTGCATACAGGCATCTGGTGTGAAGTAACCGTAGTTTTATAAATGCAAAGCCTAGTCTCTATTTTTATGGGTTTTCTTTTGTGGCTAGGTGATAAAGTAGATGACCTAGCAATCTGTTCTGACCTTAAAGATCTAGGAATCTGTGTCTGTGGCCCTCTACAGAGACAGACGATAGTTGCCAAAATACCTTTTTCTGTTTCATCCAACAAGGAACTGTTGTAGAACTGAGATGTGGAATCACTGATGTATCTGAATGCTAATATCCCTTTATAATTAAGCAAAAATGAATAATTAGTGCAGCCTGATTTGCTGAAAGTCTTTGTGGTTTTGAATGCTCTCATTATCTCAAAATAATACCTAGCTCTGTAATGCCATCCTCAAATAATTATCTTCTGTGAGTCCTGGATAGTAAGACTGACAATGAAATAATCAGGCTTACAACTGCTAAGACACTCTAATAGACAAAATATTTGTCTTAAAATACAAAATGCAATGAAATGCAAGGTCCCCAGTTCCAGAGGGACTAATGAGGTGCTCTGAAACCTATTGCACAGAGCCTGGGCTGCTGAAGTGGTGTCCAAGTGTGCAGGTTCTGTGTCGTTTTAAGAGAGATTAAGCAGGAATGTTTAGTAATTTGTGTGCCTCAGCTTTTTGCAGAATGGGTGATGATTCCGGTCAGCTGGAGTCCCTGAAGCTCCTACCAGTGACTGTTACAGCCTATTTAAACATCATTACCTCTCTTGTTTTCCAGATTATTCAGGACAGAATATTTAAGCACATATCACGTAACAGCTTAATATGGAACAAACATCCTGGAGGGTTATTTGTACTGCCACAGTATTCCTCATATCTGGGAGATTTTCCTTACTACTATGCTAATCTCGGTGAGTGAATCCTTGCTATAATCTAATGATATTAGGAATTTCTAGTAGGCATTTGGAATTTGGTCTTTGAGTAGCATGTGGCAAGTGATTTACCATTCACTTCTAGTTAATGATGCTTTGTGTTTATCCTGTCTCAGTCTTCCCTGACCACTGCAGACTGGAATGTCTCTGATGTATCAACATGCATCATGTGCCTCTCGCTTGCAAAGATTGCTTTAAAAAAATCTATGTCCCTTCATACTTTTCAGTTGCCAGTAATTAATGCCTGAGTTGCTGACCCATTCGTGGCCTGAGGGGACATACTAGGAATAGCTTTTTGCTTTCTTTGTTTATTTGTGCTTGGCAAATTGGAAAGGTGGTAATTTACCCATGACACTTGTTATTGGAGTGCATAGTTGGCATGGATTTATTCTCCATATAATTTATTCTCCATATATGTGTCTTCATATGGATCCTACTAGAAGGAATGAATAGAGCTCAGGTTTATGGCTTTTTCCTGAAGTGGAGCTTAAACAATGAGTTCTGCAGGAGGATGTGCCTGCAGGCTGAAGTGGTCCTGCTTCCCAGACTGCTGCTGCTTTTGGCTCAGCCTGTGCCATCCCACTTGTGTGGATCTGTACTGCTCACCTGCTAAAAATTCACAGTTAAAAAGGGAGAAGAAGGTTTCTGTGGGAATTTTGATGAAGAACGACTTTGACCCCACACAAATGAATTTAGATGAGACTGAGAGCAGTAATGAAGGGTAGATGCCAGCAGGATCTGTTATTTCAGGCAGAAAAGGAAATCATAGCGAGACAAAAATATCATAATGGAAGGCAAGGCTGCAAGCACAATTATCAGCTCAGGAGGTAACTTAAGGTGCATGTGGATGGGGATCGACCCAGAAAGAGCAGAAATGTGACAGAGGCTGTAAAGGAACTGGGGAAACCAAACAAACTTCTGGAAGTTGTGGAGATAATCTGTAGAAAACATCAAGCATCCAGAGATGGGCAGCAAAACAGAGCCTGTGTCAGGAAAGACATTTGGTTGAGGAAGCTAGATGTCAATATTATCCATGGGACAAACCGGATGAAAGAAAGAGATTGCAGGACATCTGTGGAAATAGTGAGTAAGAAAAGGCAGTAATTGTGTTGGAGTCAGGGATTTCAGAGGGTGTGGGAGTTAAAGGGAAGTGTGATCTTCTCTGAAGCATCTGGTGTTCTTGGTACCCGAGACGAAAGGATATGGCCTAAGAAAACATGGCAAGGTTTGCATGAAGTGCAGATTATTTTTCCATCTCCAGAGTCTTTTAATCTGTACTGATGGGGGCAGTTTTGTCTTTACTGAACCCATATCTCTTCACTCCAGGTCTGAAGCCTCTTTCCACATTCACTGCCGTTATCCACGCAGTAACTCCCCTGGTTTCCCAGTCTCAGCCTGTGCTGAAACTCCTGGTTGCTGTAGCCAAGTCCCAGTACTGTGCACAGGTAAGCAGCACTGTTTGACTGTCAGTCACGCTGGAGACAAAATTGTTGTCCCAGGAGTCAAAAGCCTCCTCATTTCAGATCTTCTCAGTCCTGTTTTGATCCCTTGTTTTAATTTTGATGTTTCTTCTCTGATATTCCTGCTGTCTGTCTGAGTATGGCGGGAGTGGAATAGAGACAGTCATTAAACCCCTTTGTTTCATGAGGAAGGTAAAATAATGTCTGCACTTTAAAGATGAGGACTGTGTGTGCTGCAAGCTGCAAAAGGATGTCTGTGCCTCAAGAGCCCCTATGTGATCTTCCTTCCTCCCGCTGTGGCTCTTAGTCTCAGCAGCACCAGGATTTTGGCTTCTGTAGAAGGAACCCTGGGGAGTTCAGTGGGAGCACCCTCTTGCAGTGGAGTGTCACGAGTGGTTTAGCCTTTAATGAGAGCCAAAGTAAATCAGTTATATCCGTATGGCCTGGCTGAGATAGAGACTTCCTGAGCTGCTGTCCAGCCCATATTTGCCTGAGAGAACATATATTGTAAATAGCTGGGATGGGTGAAATTACTGTAGGAAGTGCTATTTTTATACAGATTTGTATCTTTGTTGTTGATTTTGAAACTCCTAACTTGAATTTAACATTTCTGTCTGGAGATCTGAGACTTTAGTGTTTGGACTGCATTGCCACAAAGGTCTCTGATCATGGTGCAATATTGTCTTTCAGATTATTGTTTTATGGAATTGTGATAAACCCCTCCCAGCCAAACACCGCTGGCCTGCCACTTCTGTGCCTGTCATAGTCATTGAAGGAGAGAGCAAGGTAGGTAGAGAGAAGCATGGTAAAAGGTTGCCTCTATTCTCCAATGGGACCAGAATTTAGTTTTCCAGCTGCTTTGGTGAAACCTTTGTAGTTCCCACAGTTGTGACAGTTCCTTTCTATTCCTTGGCCTTTTGTACCAGTTGGGCACAGATTCGTGTTTCATGCATGAGGCCCATGCGCTCATAAATCATCAGTATGGCAGTTAATGCCATGAATCTGAGATGCACAGGTGAGATACAGTTTTGAAATGTGGCCTCAAAAGTAGGTAGTGCTGACCCCATCTTCGGAGATTTCTCTCTCTGCAGGTGCATCAAAGGAGTGGTGAAGCTGGATTCATTGAGTCTGGGCAGTCACATGCTAGGTGTGGGGGTTAGCTGTAGATTCAAAAGCAGAGAAGGGATGAGCATGAATGGTATTAAATTGCCTTTGAAAAGTGCCTTCTCTTATGGCCTCATAGGGTACTGCTGCCAGTGATGGGATCCTGCAACTATAAAAAGGGACACTTGTGTGGGAACAAAACCACCATGTCATCTCTTGCTGTGCCAAGCACTTGTTTTTTTTTACTTCCACAAGTTGAAATAGACACCACCTAGATGAGAGAATAGGGGTTGTTGAAAGTCCACACTGAAATAGATGATTCTTTTCCAAATGCAGGCCTGAGAAGCAGGACTTACTGCTTCTGGACTCTGGCTGAGATAGATTTTGGCTGGTCCCCTCTGCAGTCTCTGTCAGATGGCTCTTACATTTACAAAGGGAGCTTGTAGTTGCTTTGGCAGTGTAATCCTAATTTGAATTTATAGTCGTGTCTTTGGTTTTTTTCCCCGAGCCACCTTAACAAGGTGAAAGCAAGAGCCCTGCGAGGTTGGCAGCTAATGGCTTCTGCCTTAGCTGGCCATGTAGAGTATCTGGGGAGTTGCTGCAGGGCCAAGAAAGGCTGCAGTGATTTCTGAGCCTTTTGAAATCTGAGGGGTTTTTCTTTCATTTTGGAAAACTTGCGGAGGTGAGATGGAGGAGAAAATCTCTGACCAGTTCTACAGTGTTTGTGGAAATTGGCCCCAAGCACTGTTTAGATTACAAATGAGTCTCCTGAGTACACAAAGGTGTGTTTATAGTGGACAGTCTCTTCCCTCTAATATCCCAACATATGCCAAATGGCTTCTTGCACGGAAAAGCTGTTTGGACAAAGCTTGCAGAGCCAGAGCAGTGCAATTCAAAGGTTGCACAAAGGAACTGATTTTCATCTTCAGACTTAACTGCATCATATTGGCAGGCACAGTTACTTCGTGCAGGTGAGCGCAGAGGTCTGTCTTTACCTAACCTTCACTCTTCCCCATGAAATCAAGGTGTATTATCACACCCATTTTACAAAAGGGAGCTTTAGCTACAAAAGCAAATACATGGGTAGTCCTAACTCTTGTACTATTTGTCAGTTTTACACTGTCTGTAAAGGAGGTGGTCTGAGAACCCAGGTCTCCTGCTGACTGCTTCCTCAGCTTTGCCTTAGCGTAAGCAAAGCAAAACCATCAGCCCCAGCTAGATCACCCCTTCCTCACAACCACTGCCTCCCTGGACCAAGGCCACTGTAGCGATGCAGGGATACTCTCCAGACGCACACCAGGAGCATCCTGATTATGGAGGCAGAGAGTTTTCTGGATCGAGCCATAGATTCCAAAGACTTGCTTCCAAAGAGGTTGCAGGGGATGCAGAACCATTCATGCCTTTTATGAGGGACATGTAAAGCTGCTCCATCTCCCTGTTTCCATGTAGTAATTCCCTCTTACTGGGCCTGATTTTTGTAGTGTTTTCTTGGATAATAAATTGGAAAAGAAGTCTATTAACTAGCCAGGGTATTTTTCACAGCAAATGAGGGAAACAAATCGTGTTGTGTCCTTGTTACTATTCATCAGTTCTCAAAAGGTGCTAATTAGTCTGATAGCGAAACCATATGGATTCTCATTTCTCGTTGTTACCTTTTTGATCCCCACTTGCCGATCTATTTCCTACTACTTCGAGAAGTGTCCTGACATAGTTTTTGAAAGCTTATTCTGCTTATAAATTATGTATACAGCTATATGTAGAGAATTTATATGTGATTTCTTAAAATGCTACAATACCAATATAATTCTTGACGCAGGTGAAGCTCAGTTGATACACATGTTCTTTAGCATATTTTATTTTTCTGATGGAGGATGTTGTACCATTTGGCAGCAGCTCACTGTGGATACAACAGCACAGAGATGGAGTTGTACCACTTTACAGGGGAACCATCCTGGTAGCATAATGTCCTTCACACACAGCCTGGGCTGCTTGGCTTCCCAGCTGCATCACCTTATGAGTGCTGCAAAGTCCTTATCAACAGTCATTATCTTTGATGCTCACACCCCATAGGATAGCAGAGGGACAGTCCTAGCTACCAGGGATAATGTCCTCCCTAATAAAACTGTAGGTACATCTAATCCTCAGTACAGACCACTGCAATTTGTCACAAGAGGAGAGGAGCCTGCTCCAAAGAAGGGGTCTGATCAGGAATTACTCCTCAGGTAGAAGGTGTAGGCTGACTGATGGAGTGATGAAAATGACAGTAGACATTATTTCACTCTTGAGCCGAAGGGTCCTTTCTGTCAAACAGAGATATGTGAGGTACATCAGACAAGAGGAGGTAAGAGTGGGGAATAAAATGGAGAATTTCTCTTGGAAATGAGTCCTTCAGGTGTTTTTTTTCTTAACTCCTCTTCCTGCCTTCGATACCCACAGGTTATGAGCAGTCGCTTCCTACCCTACGACAACATAGTGACAGATGCAGTGCTAAGCCTGGATGAGGACACCGTGCTTTCAACCACTGAGGTAAGGGTCCCTGTCATCCTGGGGGAGTCTGCTTGGCTCCTCAGCTCAGCCTGAGCACAGCAGGTAAGTTCTTCTCTTGGCTATGTCAGTGAGCAACTGTTGTAAGATTTCCTGCCACGTTCCTCAGATTTAACAGGTTGCACTTGTTTCAGCAACCCTGCCACTGCCTGCCATCAGAGGAGCTTTTTGCCCTGGTTAATTGGCTCATCATTAGCATATGGCTTTTCCGTTCCTTATTATTTTAGTAACATAGCTGCAGGCGGGTGTAGGCAGCCAAGAGCAGTCAGCTTTAATACTCTGTTCTCACTTTCCTGATTGGGGTAGCTTTTGCTCCTCCATGTTATCAGTAGAGTGTAGGTGGGGAGGGAAGGGGTGTCAGCAGCAAGGGAATGCTGTCACTCCAAAAGAGTGTTGCCACTCTGGTGCAGGATTTCACTGAGGAATACCATTGTCACCCCATAAAACTGGAGAGCTTTGCTAGTTTAGATGTTGGAGTGTTTGCGCCAAGAGCAAGAGAGTGCTAAGAAAAGAAACATACTGTAGAAAACCAATTTTTACAACTGGGATGAGTATTGATTTCTGGAACCTCTTCCCGAGAAATACAGGGGAAACTGATGACAATTTATATAAAGTGCAATATTTGGGAAATACATTATTAATGATGGCTAGGGAATAGCTTGAAAAACCTGATTTTCTTGGTTTGCCCTTTTTTTCCCATGTTCATGGCCATTCCCTTCTCCCTTCACCTTTATAAAAATGCTTTATTTCAGTGGTAAGCGTCTTTCACTGATGCTGCCACTACTTATGTGTCAGTGAAGACATGCTTGACATTGGTCACCAGGCACTGCTGTATGCCATAAGATGTCACTGAATTCATTTTAAATGAATGATGGATAAAATGATGAATTTAAATGAAGGATGAAATAGCAACCTCTCTTCTCCCTAGTACGGGTTTATGGTGCTGTGATTAGACTGCTCCAGAAGCAGCCAGGGTTAGCCCTCTTTTGCTGCACAGATGGAAGAAGTTGGCATTAAACCCATTTGATACCAAGATTACACCTTAGTAGTTTCTGCTACATGAGGAGCAATACGGTGCTGCCAAAGCACTTGTGTGCAAAGCCCTGCACAGCCAAAACACCCCAAAACCAATAAAAGGCATTTATCCTGGCACTGGCTTCCCAAGTAGGTTTTTGCTCAGGCTGAAGGGTCCCATCTGAGCTGTCCTGGGGGCCATGGTAAGATCTCTCATGCACTTCATTGCACTGAGGTGGTATTTACAGCAATCCAGCCTGTGGATTTCATAAGGATTTGGGGCTTTGCTTTGTTTTGACTGGTATTTAGTCAGCATCCAAACTTTGGAGTCATTCAGGCTTCTGGAACGCATATGAAGTAAATAGTGTTTCTCATTTGGCTTGGCCCTGCTTTCCCCTAAACATTCTGAAACACAAATATTTGTTGTTGTGTGAGACAACATACACATTTCTTTGTGGCTTCCTCCCTCCTCTGAGCAGCTTGTAGCTGATATTGCATGTTTGCATGGAGGGTATTGGCCCTATGAGCCCCAGTGTCCCCTGTGCTGCAGAGAACTAATGAGGCAGCTTTTTCTAGCATCAGCCTTGCAGCTTCAGCATGCCTCTGCATGGGTGGCGGGGACAGCAGCTCTCTTTGGTGGCTGGCTGTGAGGAACTGGGGCCTTTCTACTGCTTCACTTCTCTTGTCATACAGCTTAGGCAGAGAAACAGTATATTGAAACACTGACATTGGTGTAAAGCTTCCCTTGAAATTAGCTGCTCATGGGTGGTCATTGTGGCAATTTCAGAGCCAGAAAAGGCAATTTAGAAACGTGGTCAAACACAATCACATTCCTGTTGAGAGGAGCCATTGCCAAGCACATCCTCCACACTGTCCAGCTCTAGTGCAGTAGAGGTTTTCCATTCACAACAGAATGGCACATAGTGGCTTTTATGAGAGAAGCTGTTTCATGTGAGCAGAGAGATGTTTGCCTGGGAAGTAATTTAGAAATCAGCACGGGTCAGAAGTGGTACAGAGACTGGCAGCATGGTTGGCTTTTCCTGCTGATCAGCTGAGTGATAATGCTGGGAAATGATACAGGATGGTGACTGAGGATTTCTTTTAAAGGGGAATTTCTCCTACGGTGGTTGCTTTAGTGCATCTCTCTGGACCAGTACTTGAGAGCACAAGTGAGGGCACCAAATGCAGCTGATTCATTATTTATTTGAGATTCTCAGACTTCACTAAAGAAAACAGATGTCACATTTTATGGGAAAGGCCTTTACAGGGAAAAAAGAAACCCAACCACTTTAGCTCTTTCATGTGGTATTGATTTGGATGAGATCAGAACTATCACAACGGTAACTGGTTTGTGCACATTGTCTTTCTAGTTGGCCTCAGATTCCTTGAAACAGCTTGAAAGAAAATAACCAGTCCCTAACTTTGTGTTCCAGTACATGTGTGACTCTTCTGTTTCATAAAAACACTTGTAAATGCGAGAAGTCTGGCAGTAATCACACAATGTGACTGTTCTCAGAGCAGCTATTCTTTATCTAACCTCTACACACTTGACTTTGGCTGGGTTCTTGGAAGGTTTTTCGAGCATTTTTGATCAGTTTTAGGTCCCTCTGGTACTGGAGGGAAATCAGAGTGCAGTGCAGATACAAAACTCATTTTCCTGGGTTGGACTGGGGCAACTAGAATTGTCTATAGCTCTGTATTTTAAAATCTTGGGCCAGCTTGAGCTCCAGAACCTAAGTTGAAGTGGAGAGACTTCAACCATCCAACTTCACAGTGGTCACAATCTTCCCATGGGTATTTTTACCAACCTCCTTTCAAATCTAGTGCTGACAGGCCTTCTGCAAATGACCCAAATCATCCCTTTCCTGGTGTTGCCAGGATTTGTTTGGAGGGATCCTGGGATAGCAATGTCCTATCACCTTTTCAATTCTCAGATATCGGAGTTATTAAAATAGTTGCAGCAAGACAATAAAATAAACAGAAAAATCCCTGTTGGCAGCATTTGACATCTTCTTGTGGCTCATACAGCATCAAGCATTTTTCTTATGTATAGGCTTCTAAAGCCATTTAACTGCATGGGAATCTTGCATTCCTGTTTATTAGGGTGTATGTTTAAATACCTTGGTCATATAGACAGCCTTAAAAGTACAACCTGCACAGTCCTCTAAAGGCTCAGAATGAATGGAAAATATAAAAGGACTCCTTATTGAGTGCCTGTTCTAATCTTGCTGACCCACCCTTACAATTTAAGATGCTTGACTCCCGGTTTTCCAAGCTAACAGATCGAGATGTTTGGTGAGATGCACAAAGACATGCAAAAGTTTCAGTTTTCCACATAGCTATTACCACTTTATATTTCATCTAAGTATAAATACATGCACCTACACCCATTCTTTCTGTAACTAGAAAAGGTGTGATGTGTAAAGGGCAAGCTTGAAAATGTTAATGTAATACTGCAATACTCTAAACTCTCTTTAACAGGAGCCATTAAAATGTGCATAATTACAGGGCAAAATGTCAAGCAGTCAGTTTAATTTACTGATGAATACATGGAATTAACGTTTTGCAACAGTTCCAAGATTCTGAATTACGAATTAGTGGCAAGGTAATATTTTGTTTTGTTGACATTTGTTAAAGCAGTTTTGGTATTCATTTGGCCTGTGCCTTTGTCTGCAGGTGGATTTTGCCTTTACAGTTTGGCAGAGTTTTCCAGAGAGGATTGTAGGGTACCCTGCTCGCAGTCACTTCTGGGACAACACTAAGGAGAGGTGGGGGTATACCTCCAAATGGACTAATGACTATTCCATGGTATTGACAGGAGCTGCTATTTACCACAAGTAAGAACCCAGAGCATCTGCTGTCCTCCTTCTGTATGAAATGAAATAGCAAGGGGGGTGGGAAGAGGGGGGTGAAGAACATTCTTCCGGGGAGGAGGAAAAAATGAAATGATAATAAATGGGTCTACTTTTTATGGGGTAATAATTTAAGTTCTTGGTTTAGCTCTGGGGATCTGGTAATCATTATTGCGCTTGTTTGGTCTCTTTGAAGTCACTTGTATTTTGAAGCAGTCGGACTGCTCTTTTTAACATCAGGAATTACACACTTCAAAGAGTTCCCGAATTCATTAAGCTGCTCTGCTGAATGGCCTGTAGCATAGCAGAAAGGAGGTTACTTCCAGACCAGCTCTGGGTATGTGTTGGCTGACATATGCAGACTGCAAAGTCTCCTGGCTACTCTAGAAATGGAGTACAGTGGACACGTCACAGATCAGCATACTGCAGCACGTAGGAAAAAAAACCACTTGTTAGGGCTTCAGCAGACCAAAGACCTCTCTAGATGTTGGGAAAAAGTCAGGAAATTCTGGAGTATCTAATCCACATCCCTGCAAAGGAGAAGACAAGCCATGGGGGGTGATACAGGCCCACAGGAGAATAAATTCAACAGTAAGAATCATAGAATGGTTTGGATTGGAAGGAACATTAAAGATCAGCCAGGTCCAATCCCCTGCCCTGGGGAGCGACACCTTTCTCTAGACCAGGTTTCTCAGAGCCCCAGCCAACCTGGCCTTGAGCAATTCCAGGAATGGGGAATCCACAAGGATGGTAGGGACAGTAGTAGGCCGGTGTAATAGTGTTCTTTCCAACTGATCAACTTGGAAAGAAGCGGTGGAGGGTGAATTCATCCATGTTGTTTATCACATTATAGCAATATGGTGCTCTCTTCCATGCTTCTCCATTATGTTGACACTTAGGTCTGCATTAATTCTTTCAGTTACAAAAAAAAGGCACATGTTTTGTTTCTCCGTTAGCACTATTTAATGTCGTGATGAGACACTGAATTGCTCTCCCTTCTTGTTTGAGGCTGAAGGGAAGTGGTATAGCCAGAGTTGAGTACAAAACTTGTGTCTGAATTGAGATAGACATTTCCTGGAGTTGGTAATCCCTGAAAGTCCAGTGACTTGTACTAATAACGCTGCTGTTGGTTTCCAGATATTATCACTACCTGTACACTCATTACCTGCCTGCCAGCCTAAAGAATATGGTGGACCAACTGGCCAATTGTGAGGACATTCTAATGAATTTTTTGGTGTCAGCTGTGACAAAATTGCCTCCAATCAAAGTAACACAGAAAAAACAGTATAAGGAGACCATGATGGGACAGGTATGTATCCACAGCATGTTTTAGCAGTTGGGAAGTACTGATAATGTAATGGCTTGACTTCTAGGTTAGGCTTACAGAGCAGAGCAATTCTGCCGTTTCTCTTGCAATTTTTAGTTTAACAGGACTGTAAATAGACTTTGGATATGGTTATTATAATGAAAGAAAAGGAGAAATGGCAAACATCTATTATGGATGACCGCTGGTCTTCATAGTTTTCTCACAGTGTTATTGACAGCGATCCCAAACTCATGGAACTGATAATTGTGGTGACTGAATTTCAGTTAAACTCTAGTTTCTAATGAAATTAGGTCTAGAATTAAATATTCTAGACCAGAGACCTAGTCATGGAATGCTGGAGGCAGAAGTAAATTCTAGAAAACTTTTCTGGGTTTTATTACTGTTAATTAATACAGTGTACTAGGCTGTCCCTGTGCTATCGTAAAGCATACAGTGTGATTCAAGCACTGACATCAGATTGTCACAACAGAGGAAATTTGTGATATTCAAGGTTGTTTTCTACAGGGAACATTTTGTGCTGTGGTCATGCCATCACTCACAAGCAGTCATGAAATGTTTGATTTAGATCCTCTTCCAGCTAGTGGATAAGCACTCTGTCATTGCAGAAATGCATATACCTTCCAGTAACAGGGATACAGGGTAACCTGAGGGCACTTTTCCTCCTGCCCTGTGTGGGAGAGGGATGAGAGGAATAACAAGTCCTGCAAGACCTGCAAGTCCTAAACAGCTTACCATCCGTGATGTCATGGTGTTTGTGATCCTCACTACAAACACTGCCATGATTACTAGGGGGGTTTCGAAAGAAAGAAGAGGCCCACTATTTCCCCCTCACATTTTCTCCTATTAACCATTACTTGGATCTTTGACTGGGGAGTGGCCATGCCAGTTTGTAGGCTGCCTATCTGTATGCCATTGCGCTTTCATATGAGATATAGGTAGCATTCAGCAATTCTGACTCATCTGGGTATCCAGGAGTCCTTCTGTGTACACGAAGGTGCCATTCAGAAAGTACCTATTGCTTCCAGTTTGAGCTTCACCTCTCCACAGGGCCGTGCACTGGTTGTTTGGCAAAGTCTGAACATCCATTTTTCTTCTTATAGCGCGGGTGACATGAGTCAGCCATGAACTATAACTCTGTCCTAAAGACAAGTTGTTCCTGCAGCTTTGGGAAATGTAATGGACCATGTTCATAATTCCTTGAAAGACAAATAAAAAATTAACATAACCTCGGTGTTGTGACAGAGATTAATGGTGCTATGGAAATTCACTGTTAATGGCCAGAATGTCTGCTATAATCCTCTAGCAACAAGCTTTTGCTTGCTCTGTAGTGGCTCAGTATAATAAGAGTCTGTAGTCAATGCACGTTATAATCAATGCACATTATAACCTACCACTTGAGGTAAACTGGACAGGCCTTGGACAAAGATCAAGTCTAATACAGCCTTCATTTGGCAAGTCCCTGACTTTATCAGTTTCTTCATGTTCCAATTAGCATACTTCGAGTTTATTAATCTGTATTTGTTTCTAAAGTATAGTGGAAATGTAAGCGCTAAAGAAAAATGCATGGGAAGTGGCACAAAACCCCCTTAGGTTCTCAGCATTCATGCTTTATCTTAAATAATAGTTTTATTATGTTTATAAATGTAGTTTAGGTACAGATAAAGAATGGTGACTGCTTCAAAGCTGTTAAGGCCTTATTTTTTCCAGAGGTGCTGAGTTTTGATGGGCTTTCGTAGGAATTACAGCTGCCCTGAGCTTTGGAATATCAGGCCATGATGTTTTGCATGTATGCATGCAAAGACCATGGTCTTTTCCTTGGGTCAGGGTTTAACATGATGTAATGGGGAACTCCAGTTAATTCTGTCTGTCCACAAGAGAGTACTGTCTTACGCACTGGCCTCAGCCAGTGGGATTCCTGGAAGCACCCTACTTGTCCCTGCAGGACATTTACACGCATGAGTAATGCCATGTACGTAAGGACTTACACTGAGCTCAGTTATAAGTTGGTTAAAATTATTTGTGTATAAATTTCTGCAGATCTGGACTGCAAAAGTGTGTTTTTAACCTGGCAAACCATTGCAACGTGTTTTCATCCTATGGCTGAAAGCTGTGGGCAGCAGCAGGCCTGCGTTTGGCTGTGCTACTCCAGTAGGAAGCCGTGGACTTCTTGGCTTTCCCTTTTTTAAGGACTTGTTTTATCTCCGAAATAGCTGGAGGTTTTGGGAGAAAAGAAGAGCAGGGTTTTGGGTGAAGTAGTGTGCAGGAGGGCTTTGGGAGGGCTGCTGGCGGGTGTCATGCTCTGGGTCAGGCTGGCTCATGGCTGAACTCGGGTGTGCTGCCCTCAGCGCTGCTTTGGAAGTCAGCCAGCTCATCACCACCACCAGCAAGCTCTGCGGGCAGCGTGTCCTTCGCCTTGTTTAAACCCTGCTACTGAGCAGGTTTCACAGATTATGGAATCACTGGGGTTGGAAGGGACCTCTGGAGATCATCCAGTCCTGCCAAGACAGGGCCACCTACAGCAGGGTACACAGCAATGTGTCCAGGCAGGTTTGGAATGCCTTCAGAGAGGGAGACTCCACAACCCCCTGACCAGCCTGTTCAGTGCTCTGACACCCTCAGCATATGAAAGTTCTCGTTCATGTTGATGTGAAACTTCTCATGCTTTAGTTTATAGTCATTGCTCCTTGTCCTGTCACTGGGCACCACTGGAGAGAGTCTGGCATAATTTTCCTGGCACCCACCTTTGAGTTACATATATGCATTAATGAAATCCCCTCTCAGTTTTCTCTAGACTAAACAGGCCCATCTTCCGCAATCTCTCCTCATAAGAGAGATGCTTCAGACCCATAATCATTATGTTTGTGGCCCTCCAGTAGACCCTCTCCAGTAGTTCCTTGTCTTTCTTGCATGGAGAAGGCAAGACCTGGACACAGCACTCCAGATGTGTGTCAAACCTGCCTTGGCAGGGTTGAGTAGAGGGGCGGGATCACCTCCCTTCACCTTCTGTCCACACTCCTCCCGATGCACCCCAGATTTCAGCCACCTCAGAGCCCTGGCGCTGCTCTGCAGTGCGGCGCTGCTCAGCCTCATGCCCATCTTTTCCTGCCATGCATTCCCCATTGTGTTGTGTCATGGCCGAGGTCTGACTCCTGCTCTTCTCTCCACACAGACATCCCGGGCCTCGCGCTGGGCCGACCCCGACCACTTCGCCCAGCGGCAGAGCTGCATGAACACTTTTGCCAGCTGGTTTGGCTATATGCCGCTGATCCACTCGCAGATGAGGCTCGACCCTGTCCTCTTTAAAGACCAGGTCTCCATCCTGAGGAAGAAGTACCGAGACATTGAACGACTCTGAGGAGCGCTGCTGATGGGTCCGAGCCGCCCTGCGTGGTCATCAGTGCATGGAGCCAGACTGTGCCAGAGACAGCGAGCGCCTGGCCCCGGTGAGTGGCATGCCAGGATGCTGGAATGCCAGGATGCTGGAATGCTGGGACGCCGGGGTGCGCTGCTCCGGACTGCGCCCAGCCGCCCGGCAGGCTTCTGCCGCTCGAGACTAGGTCGTGTACAGTTTCATTATGGAACATTAAATAATTATTTTTGAAATGATTGCTATGCAGGTTTAAACTTTTTTAATGATCAAAAAAAAAACCCTATTAAAAACAGAGTTCTTTCTTTAATCAACATCGTGTTGGGTGTGAGTATTTCAAAGCTGCCGTTTCTTTCTCTTGTGCATTTGATTGTCAGTGCAGTTTTCACTCATTTTCCCCTGCACAGTTAAGCACTTGAATCTCATGGGTGGAAAATGCAGCGGGTTCAGCCACAAGCTGAGCACGAGCAGGACAGAACCAAGAATTTTTGTTCTCATTTACTCTGACTTTTTAATTTCCTTTCCTGTTTTCCCCAAGCCAGTAGCATCCACTGTGGCAGAATTCTTTGGAGCTAGACGAGAGCATAGACCTTTCTGGCTTGGGTCCCCGTTTTTAAAGGCAGTCGGCCTTGCTGTGTATGGAGGGAAGAACACTACTCCCAAGCAGCAAGCTGGAGGAGCGAGCGGGTACATGGAGCACAGAGAGGCTTCAGTCATGCCAGGTTGTGTATTCTGGTAGCCGAGGTGCATCCCGTCCCAAACAGCCATGTCAGGGGCAGTCAGCAGGGCCAGTGTGGTGGCTGCACCCCCTGCGTGACTCCCTGCTGCCTGGGGCAAGGGTGCTGCTTGGGCAGGGCAGCTCAATCTCTAGAAGCTGCTTTGTTCTGAGGGCAGCAGGGGTGTTGGCAAAAGAAGGAAAGCATGTTAGTGCTTGCAGCGCAGGAGTTTGGCCTGTAACAAACGGGTTTATTTGAAATCAAAGCTGCGCTTCTCTTTTTTTTCCTTTTTTGTTGGAAGTGTAAATAAATGGAGAAATTCCCTCCTGGAGGTCTGACACGTGAAGTGAAGTGTATGATCAGACACTCGGTGCTGGCAGCAGTGGGTACTCCCAGGTGTACTTGGGGTAGGGTAACTTGGGGGAAAAAGCCTGCCCTGAATCTCAGCATTGCTTGCACACCAAAGTGAGTTTAGCTTTTCAAATGGAAGTATTTTTAAGTGAAATATTCCAGTTGTTTATTTCTCTTGGGTGCTTTGCTTATTTATGTGCTCCTTTACATTGAAGAATGAAAACAAAAGCAGTGATTTGCCATTCTGATTTGCTAAAAAAATAAGCACTTTAAAAGCAGTTTGAACTCTCGTGTTTTGATAAGGGGCATTTGGGGCGCTCTGTAACAATTGCCATCCCCAAAAGCTCTGTTAAAGTCACAGTGAGAATATTGTGCTGATGCCCAGAAGACCAGCAAGCCTTTTTATACCTCATTCCTTTATAAACAGGCATTCTGGAACCAGGGGAGAAGATTAGCTGGAGTGCTAGGAAGGGTGGACCAGAATTAATTTTTATTCAGGTTTAAGCATGGATTTATTATGCAGCTTTAAGGAACTCCCATAACCAAGGCCTGGCTCAGTTTCCTCATTTGTAAAAGTAATAGTTACTGGTTGTAGAGAGAATACTGTGAAGCCTAAATAATTTCTCTTGCCCTAAACAGAAAGTTGCTTTAAAAGTGTGAAGTACATATTGCTAAATGTGTGTATGCAACCTGACAAGTAAAGACTTATAAAGAATGACTTTTGCATACGTATTGCGGTATTTGAACAGAGCACAGTGAGTTAGGGCAGAAACATTAGGCTCCTGACATTTTGTGTTAGGATCACAGAATGGTTTCGGTTGGAAGGGACCTTCAAGATCATCCAGTTCCAACCCCCTGCCACAGGCAGGCACACTTTCCACTGGAGCAGGTTGCTCAGCCTGGCTGTGAACACTTCCAGGGATGGGGTATTCCCAGGTTCTCTGGGCAACCTGTTCCAGTGTTTCATCACCCTCACAGTAAAGGATTTGCTCCTAATTTCTAATCTAAATCTACCCTCTTTCAGTTCAAAGCCATTACCCCTTGTCCTATCAATACATCCCCTTGTAAGTCTGAACTAAATCTTTAAAGGAACCTGCCAAAACACTGCAGCTAGTGACTTATGCTGCTGAAAGGAAGAGGTGCTGCTTTTCCCCCCGTTGCCATGTTCTTCCAGTCCCTGGCCATGCAGTCTCACTTGACACCTTCTGCTACTCTGATGCTCACCAGATGCTTCTGTGAGCCCATCAACCCTGAAATAATGGAAAACTGTCCGGTGACTTGCTGGATTTTTTTAATGCCATTTTAGAGAGTTAAATCAGCGTATGGAGAGATGTGTAAGGAGTATGGAGGCAGGGGAGCAGGATATGCTGCTGTTTGTAAGCTGCTAATTCAGCTCCCCACATCCCATAAAAACCTGAACCTCACTTTCCTATGCTGTCAGGTCTGTGCTTGTTGAGCTGCAGGGAAGGTGAAATTGAGTGGTTTGGTTTTCCAGAATGAATGGCTCAGAACATTTTTTCCTCTTGAAGATCAAGCAGCTCTTTAAGGGACTGCAGTCGATACTGGGTTTGGAGAATGTGTCAAGCATTGGGGGAGTTCATCAGGGCTCACGCTTTGCTTGTGTCCCCATTTGCGGTAGCATCTGCGCCTGTTGGAAGCAGTTAACGCTCACTAGCCAGCAAGAGGGCCAGGGAGAGGCAGTGGCACAGACGGGACCCTACAAAAGCAAGGATTCTGTCTGGGTTTTAGATAATGCCATATTGGTGCACATGGGTTGGGTTTTCAGTAAAGTAGGTGACCATTTTTGGAGTGCAGGGAGTCAGGCCAAGGCTTTCAGCTGTTTGACATTCTGTTACTGTTGGTTTTTAGGGTGGCTGAAGGAGACTGCTAAAGCTTGCTCTCAATGTGGCTCAAGGCCCTTTCTGTTTACAGATCTGTAATTAAACAAGCAACAATAACAGGCTTAGCTCCAGAAGGGATGTGGATAGGTAGGAGCATTTCTCTTTGCAGCACGTTACCCAGGCAGGGCCGTCTCCCTAGGGAAGAATGTGCCTCACGGCCAGTCTCGAGAACGGCCGTTGGTCTCTGTGTCCATGGCACAGGGATCCAGGGAAGAGCTGGGCACAGATCCGGCTTAGGGACTTGCTGTGTAATACTCAATGCAGACGTTATCAGCCAGCACTGCGAAGGACAGTAGGCGTGCTTCCACACCTCCCTTCTGTATCCATGTTGGATAGAGCTATGGTGTTCCCTTAGTGAACGAAATCACCCTTTTGTCATGTCCTGTGTGCAAGTTAATGGTTCTTCATTCTTTTTTCTTCTCCCCCCCTTAATTCAGATGGTGCTGAGACAAGGTTCACTCCTTGTTGCTCCTTTTGTAGTTCTTTTTAATTATTATTATTTTTCATTAACAGCAGGCTATGTTAGCCTTTACTTTACAGGTACTTGAATGCCTGTTGACTTGACTGAGTGTTACGCATGTGGCCTTTCATAAAGGTTACTGACCTTAATTTAATCAGGGGTGAGATGGATGGATGAATATGAATAGATCCATGCCATTATAACAGAATAAAAGCAGGGATTAGAGTTTGGGAGAACTGATGAATTTTTAATTGAATTTATTAAAGAGAAAAGAAATAAGAAAAAGAGACACAAAAGTCCTTCCCAGTTATAATCTGAGTGAAAACTATTGCAGGAGGAGGGTTTCATGAGAAAAACGTAGCACAAAAACAGGGGCAAACTTCCAACATAGTGCCTGGCTCTCCTCGCGGTCCCTTGGGCCTGTACAAGATTTTATTTGCCCTCTTTCTGTTTTGTGAAGAACTCTAATTGTTACCATTGCTTTTTCTAGATGTGAATGTTTAAGCTTTGTAACGATTTCCTAGTGAACACACTGGTGTGCTGATACATGCGTATCGAGCGCTTTGATCTTTTCCATCGGAAAACATCATGGATTTGATCAACTTCAGATTCCCATTTCTCTTTTAGAGCTAACTTTGACAAAGGAATTAATCTTTCACCAATGAGCGCCTTTTAAAATAGCTCATTTACCAAAAGATGTCGTTTGGAGAATGGAAGTCATCATCTGACACTGAAGCAATGAAAGAAACAGCTAGGAGACCAGGATTTTATTTAATCTTCCCATTCCCAATGTAAAATGCTGTGTCCTCCTCTTCCTCACTCCCCCCATATTGGAACCAAAGGACTGCTCAATGTTTGACGTAACACCTGTATTGATTGACAACAATTTGATCAATTCCTCCAGTTATCCTCATACCACAAGGCTTTTCCAGGCTGGCTCTGTTGCCTACTGCAGAACCCACAGCCTGACGGAGCCATTCCCCTGGGCTTTAGTGGGATTTCATGGGACAAGCCTGTACTCTTCCAAGAAGGGACCTGTCCCATGCACGGTCTTATCTGGTGTCTGCTGGAAATAAAACACATCTTCCAAAATGCTGTACATCTCACCCTTGTTTAAAGCTAAGTCGAGCTGGCCTTCATACCACTATTTTAACCATCTTCATACATGGTTTTTAAGTTGAAGTTAAATTAGCAGGGGTTAAATTGGAGGGAGGGAAGGTATGGGACTCATCAGATGCTTTGGGATGCTCCCTCCCACTTTTTCATGATGTTTTTAATGGCTGTTCCACAGTGGATTAGTGATGATCCAGTGGGCCTTGTGACCTTGTACATAATTCTGTATATTTATTTTGAGAGAAAATCTGTATAGTGTTTGGATGATGAGAACAGAAAGCTGGAATGGGAGTTCTTAGATGGGCAAATGTAAAGCAAAAAAAAAAAGAGGCAAACAAAAATACAATCTTATTTTGTATAAAATGTACATTTTTGAGAAGAATTTTCTAATGCATTACCAATGTTTTCATAGTGCCGCCACACCTTTTTTAAAGTGTTTCTCCCTCCTTGTTTGACTGTTGACAACATGGTGCAATTAAACCTAAGGCAAGTGTGTGAGTGAGAGAAAAAGAGAGAATGAGAAATTAAGAAGCCATATACTTTGGTTTACTTCATTAACCTGTATAACATCATAGGTTTGCCATCTTAAGATAGGTTGTTTTTATAGATAGTGTCACCAAAGACTTTTTTTCTCCAGATTTATTTTGCAAAGTTGTTAATAAAGGACGTACATTTCTGTCGCGGTGTGGTTTGGTTTTTAAGGTAGAATAACGAGTCTTCCTTGTGCTCTTGAGAATGCAAATTGCCAAGTGATTGCCAAGTGTCTCAAGTTC